TCCTTACTTTTCAATATTTATTGGCTTTATAATTCTTTTTGTATCCGCGATATTGTTGAGGATTAGTTAATTTCTTGCCGACGCGCTTGCGTCGCGCGCGTTACTTTTTTCCGAACTTATGTCGGGTTTATGTCTTTCGGCCATTTGTTAAATTTCTTTTTCGGAAAAACCATTTCAAAAAGCCATTTTCAAAGTTCCTTTCTTACCGAATAATTATCGGGTTTCAGCCGCTCGGCTCGTTGTTAACATTGATTCTGTATCTTTCATTTTGCAAACGAAGACTATCTCGGATGAATAAATCGACTTGCGATTAATCCTTTAATTTAGTTTATTTACTTTTATTTATTAAGGCAACCCCTTTCCTTTCATTTAGCAGAAGGAAATCGGGTCCCTTCCGGAGCAGTTAAAATAACGGAAGTTAACTGCCCTTACCTCGCCCCGCTCCGTGGCCATTTCGGTGGGCAACTTATCTGAGTTAGCTGGCCCTTCGCCCTGGCCACGAGTCCCTTTGACGGACACACAATTTGGGGGAAGTCTTCTCCTAGGACGGACCTCGGAGAAGCCGGGAATAAACCCTTCGCCCTCGCCTTCCGGCTCCGCTCTCGCGGGGAGAGACCGAGCCCTTAGGGAAAGGAGGCCGAAGGTTCCTTAAAATTCGGCGTTTTAGGACGCCTGGCGCCCAACCGATAACTAATTCGTGTGTATTTGCTCAGGAGTGGGTGCAAGCCAGGGCGGAGGTTAAGTACCCTGGGACTTAGGGCCCTTTTGTGAACAATAGGTATCCCTCGGGCGGCAAACCTACGTCACAATTTGTATAATTTTTTCAACGGTACAATGTTCGGTACAACTAGTACAATCCGGTACAACTAAGAAAAATATCGATTTTCCAAAAAGTAGAGGCTAGGTCAAGAAACACTTTTTTCAAATATGTTAATTAACTATTGAAGTTAGGACAATTGTTTCAACGGTACAACACGGTACAAAGGAAGTACAATCCGGTAAAAAAAACATTTTTCATTTTCGAAAAAGTAGGGGCCAACTTCACGGACACGTTAAAGAGGGCAGACTTCATAAACCGTTTTACCAAAAATTGAAAAACAACACCTCAACTTGAAACGATAATAGTCTGTAAAACGCACGTTGGATTTCCTAAGTTATAAAATGGATGCTATTCAAATCGGGAGATTTTGTCAATTAATGCACTTATCCAATATAGTAATCGGGAATTATTCGTTCGTTGTTCGTCGTTCGCTGTGCGTGCGTGCGTGCGTGCGTGCGTGCGTGAGCGTCCAGTCTCGGATCGGGTAGTTAAGGGTAGACCTGGGGGCTAATTTTTTGTATTCGGGGCTTTTCGGGAGTGCTGAGTTGAAATCCAAAATCGGATTTTGGTAATTTCAATCAGTGATCGATCTATTGATCAAGGACTGGTTTGAAATAAACGGCCATGTGAGTACTTCCATGGCTCCCATGCGAAGCCGGGCAAAAACTAGTTTCTATCGAAGTAAAAATATCCGAAGGTATAAACTTATAAAAATTATAGATGAGTTTGTATTTCTAAAAGCCAGTAGGATTATTATGAAAGAGTAAATACACATATTTTATATAATTTTACAATGTCTGAAAGAAATAAAAATTATGTTTGTTTTGGTTATTATTCATGTGGGGTGACGGGACAGAATTTTGCCGGTCACAGGTGAAGCCGAGACGATGATGGTGAGTACAGATTTGGCTTGTTTTCTGACATTTTTGGCCATTGGCGGCAGCCGGGATCACCCTCGTCAATCAATTAAGTCAAATCTCATCCCTTTTGTACAATTGGTAACAAGTCGCGTTCTGTTTATTACGTTTTAAATTTGTCTTTTAAATCCTTGTTGCATTATCGGTATGATCACTGGTCGAGGATGATTTTCTAATCGGTGCTCGCATCCATCGATTGTATTTCGACGAAATTGCCACGCGAAGGAAATAGATGGTGCTTTAAATTACCGATAAATCCATGGAATTTCTTCGATTTTACATCGTTTTTTGTATATTCATTATTCGGAAAGAGTATACCATTTAGCACAATTCTCAATGTAATACGACAGAGCTGTCAATATGAATAGTAACTTCGATAACGTAAGTATTTAACATTTTTTGTACCGACGTTGATTAAATTTCTCGACGAGTTTCACTTTATCTTCAGGGGATGTGGAAGTGGCATCCGAAAACTCAATTGTTCACGAAACTTTACTCCGAACCGGGTGTGTCGAATCGTTTCTAACTTTACAACGTGAATATGGAGAGCATAAGGTAGGTCCTAACACTCGCGAAATTTCATTTTTTATACAAAATTTTAAATTCACCTATAATTAAATTTTTAAAGAATTCAAATTTTATGGGTGTCAGGACCTTCTTTATAGCTTCCATATTCACATTGTCAAGTATGAAATGATTTGGTACACTCACTTCGGAGAAAAGTTTGATAAACGAGACTTCTTCTCATCACTTTCATATTACTTTAAGGTAGACTGCCATATGCAATACACATACATGCAAACAAGTGAACACAATTTGCCTTCATTAAAAATTAATTAGTAAGCCTTCATTAACAATAATTAACTAATGTGATGTGAAGGCGGTTTTGAACATTCAGTTGCGCGAATACGCTTTATTTGTATATGGATCAGCGCAGCGTTGACTGCCAAAACAAATGAGGAGGGTAATATTATATAATATTGGCGGTCACTGGTGACCACCGCAGTTAACGTGTTCACCGATTCATCACAGACATTTCAACATATAACCATGGTGGTGCCGTTTGCGACATCGTATAAAATGCATTTAAATAAAAAAATAATTTTTCTTACGCAACTAGGACCAATTATCATTTTTGCTATTATTCAATAATAAAAGGTTCTAACAATTGAGTCAGAACTGAGTAACAATTGAATGTCAAAAATCATGTCGAATTATTTGAAACAAGATGATCACAGAAAGTTACACATTCAAACCCGAGAAAGGGGAAAAAAAAGAGTATTCGCAAATTTGAGGTGTGTGACGTAATACATGTATAGTTGAACGAATCCAGGGAATTTCTTGAGCATTACTACGATATTTTCGTCATCATTGTATTGAAATAACATACGGCCCAGGCACCCCGCAATATGGAATATCCGAAAATTAGTCGTATATAAATGTTTATTGAACGTATGAAAGATATATATATAGATATTTATGAACTCTATTTTAGATACACCCAGAGGCTAGATGTCCGGATATAATATGTTTTATATATATATATATCGTAGATATTTACAATAAATGGTTAATCCACGTCTATAGATATTCATATGCATTTGCTAAAAGAAAGAAATTCATAACACTTCATGAGCAGAATCTGTTTGAGAGCTTGTTCAATACAGCTATGCAGACAAATCCTGCTGTTTTGAGACAGAACCATTTGGTTGTAATTGTCGGGATTTGAACCCGGGACTCACGGGTAGGAAGCAGTAGCGCTAACCTCGATGCTACCAAAGCTTATGAAGGAATAAATATTTTTCGAACTTATGAACATCGCTCCAGTACTTCGCGATCAATGGTAAAGATACTCTTATTGCATCTTGTTGTAAACTTATTCTTAAAAAAAAAAGACTCATGATGGTAAAATTAAGTCATTTAAAAAATTGTAACAGTATGTTATAAAATCATCATTTTACTTAAAAGTGTATAATAATTGTATACCGATTCACATTTAAGATACTAAATTCATAATGTTACTACAACCTTATATATTAAAAGTGCATGAATTTTATGAATATTATTTAAAGATATTTCATTTAAATGTGCACAAGTTTTTACAGTGCAACTACATTATTACAAATCTATGGAAGCTGAATATAAACTATCAAATTAATGTTTTCGAATAGTTTAGATTTCTTTATAGGCTATCTAGACTTCTATAATATATGTACCGTAAATATAGGCGTGAAAAAGATTTACACATATATTTACGGGATATTTTTATTATGCATACCATAGATAATGTAAGATTTCTATACTTATGTCTTAATTTGTAAATCCACTGTAAAAATATTATACTTCATACGGTGCTTGGTAATACATCATAATTTACACAATGGTAAAAGATCATGATGTATGGTCACCAGCCAAAGAGAAAATAAATAAAAAAATCAGAGTATGGACGAAATTAACAGTTTTATCAAGTGGGAATTTAGGTATAAACATTAAGTATGTATGAAAAATGTTAGGTTGCATGAGGTGTTTTTTTGTTTTTCTAAACGTATTTTTAACGATGTTGACTAACCTTTGGTAGATTTCTACTAGAGCTATTATAATATATTTTGTATGCGTCAAGAAATAAGTAGATATTTGTAGATCAATAGTGGATATATCATTTTCATCTTGCATCATGTTATTTTCATCACATTGTAGATAAAAATCCTTTGATATTTATGATATATATTCTATAGCCATATGCCTAAATTGATCCATATACTTACGAATGATATTTTTATTAGGTGGATGCTAGACGATATACATTTGCTATACCTGTAGACCTAATTTAGACGATAAATTTACGTATATTCCACTTTATGGGTTGCCTGGGGATGTACATGCCATTTCGTATAATTCGCAATGTAGAGTACAACAGAAAAGAACATAAAAGTAAATGTCAGTTACGTGGCACACAGTTCCAGATAGATTATCAGTTAGATGGTTTATCAGAATTCTTTTTCATCGCCGTCGATTACATTTCTGGGTAATTCTCACAACACCATAATCCTACTGAATGAAAAACACAATTATATAAAATAAAAATTGAAAATTTTTTTAATTCTGGGTAATCTTTAAGTAAAAGGTGTCTTTTTCATTATGATTGGCCTACAAAACCATTTGAGGAATAAATACCGTGATGACCAGAAAAATAACATTTTCTTTTTCTTTTATATGAAGCCACTAAGGCAGGTAGATAAATAAATGTTTTTGCATGGAATTAGTAATGTTTTGAATAGTTGAAACTTTTTTTTTATTCGATTAAATACATTTTCATGTAGGTCTAAAATTTGGCTCTGCAGACTGCGCAAGCTCCATCGGCCCTGCTACCACAGTCCTTAAAAGTCATCTGCAATCAAAAAGCCCAAGATTTTCTTAAGGTAAATGAATATAGTTGCACTTAAGCGTACAAATTTCTTTTTACGATTGAAATTTCGCCCAAAAAATGCCAAAGAAGGGGTACTTATTTTGGGCAACCTTCAAACATTCTTTAAACGTGTCACTTTGCGAATCATTAAAATATTTCATGTAACGTAAGCATAGTATATACGACTTTTCGCGCCTGTCTTCATCATCTGAAGTTGCCCTTTCTATAACAATGACCACAAACTGACGGCGGAGAGTGAAGGCAATGTAGAAAACGAATTTCAAAACGTTCTAGGACGAAAAAGTGCCCATATTCGTACTCCGTGTATGCGCGAAAGACGCATAAACCATGCTTTTATTACATAAAGTATCGCGTATACCCCGGAGACAAGGTCTTTTTCGCGTCGCGCACTTGCAATACTTGTCTTTGGCCCACGAACGTACTCATTTTCAACTCGTGCACCCGCGATCCTACGACTCGTATTGCAAGGTCACGCTGGACGTAAAAAGACACACTTTGCCTCCTTTGTACATAATGTTCTATCAATTTCCGTACGCTTAACTGAAACCGCAGTCATATACTTGATGAAAATCTCGATTTTGATTTTGGATGAGTTTTAAGGACTCCAGGTGCAAGATCGATGGAGATAGCGTAACCTGCAGAGCCACATTTTAAACCAAGAGAAAAATATATTTAACGAATCAAAAATATTTATCAACAGTTAAAAACATTACTAATTCCATGCAAATCATTTACTTATCTGCCTGTTTTACAGGCGTCACGAAAATTTCTAAAAAAAAAAAAATACCCGTTTGTTTAACCGCCAGTGTTTATCTCCCTTAAATATCAATAACAGCATTTTTGTATATCTTTAAATCCATGGAAGATATTGAGGTATTTGGTTTCAAGTAAGCCACTCGGAATAATAAATACATATCATACAAGTGCATCGCGTTCCACCTAAATAATGATTTCAAGCCTTAAGAACAGAATCAGAAATCCCAAGATAATATCAAAATCTACAATTATTTACCGAGTACAATTACATGATACTTACTCCCACCTCCATTGGGCACTGTCAGTTGCCTTGATGTTTGGTAAACAACTTTTCAACATTGTTGCAATCTTGGTAGTAGACACACCTTCATTTATATTCTTTTATAATTTTGTTTGTGACACTAAAATAAATCTCTGCATGAAACATTTAGTCTTATACAACCAATGCCAGAATATCGGATTCATAGCATTGGAAGTTTACATTACACTCATTTTAAGGTATCCATTTTTCTCATCCAAAATAAGGATAGCAGCATCTTAGTGTCAGTAGACTATTCCTTTAATCGTTCATGCTGTTTCATTCGCTGTTAAGAACAGTGTGCTGGATCTTGAATTTTTAGTCCTTTACAGCAATTCTGCTAAAAATAAAAAACAATATTATAAAATCTTTCTTTTCAATGCCTTAATGTGAATTAACTATTGGATAACTTCAATAAAAACGCTGATAAATATCAGTTTTCAGATCAATACTTTACATATGTTACACTTGTGAGTAAAATTCTTATTGCTCAAACCCCTTTGAAAAGACATCTTCTGATGCATGCAAAGCAGGCGTAAGGCTGCTGTTTTCAGGCCGGTTGAGCGGACGGGCGTACAAAACTTTATGCCCGCTTCGCCGGACATAAAGTAAATTGTGAACTTGTTTTCAAAGGGAGTTGGACAAAAAGTATCGTGTATGTCATGAGCGAAAGATCATTTTGACTCGTGTGATTGTCATCCTCACTTCGCTCGTACTGCAACTTCACCTTCGTCAAAATGACGTTCTTTACGCCCTTAACGCACAATATACTATTTCTTGTATTTTATCAATTTTTCATTTAATCATGATTTTAATTCAACTTTTGTAATCACAGACATTTTATTGTAATTGTCATTTTTTCTTTTTTTATTAGTGAGCATGGTCATTTCACATATTTTTATACTTTATCTAAAGAATTAGCACAATAGAAAGTATACCGTGCTAAATGTCACAGAAGCCCTAGAAGATATCTGTTCTGAACTTGTGTGGTTTTATCTACTTTATATGAAAGAGAAAAGAATATCACTTGAAAACCACAACGACAATCACTTAATGAATACATGAAAACTAAATAATTCAAAAAATCATTTGTTATAAACTGTTTATAAGAATTATAGAATGCAACATTCATATGCGTTTCAGTGTTATAACCAGCATCTATCACAATAATATTTTACATTTTTGTAAACTGTAAATTAAATATCTCCACACACAAGATATCGGTAAAATATTTTAGCCCTTTGCCCTCGAAAGATGATTCTCAGCTACCGCTGGCAACTGGAATGGCAAAATCCTCAAATGCAAAGGGCTGATTGGAATAAATTTCATTTTATAAAATATTTCAAATATATCATTTTTCTCTATAAGCTGGGAACTTTATTCTTCTTGTTGATAAATATTAAACAAAAATTTCATTGTTATAGAGTCCATGAATCAGTGTCCTAACGAAGAACAACGGAAGTATGTCAAACTAAATTTCACACAACTTTAAAACAATTTACAATTATTATTTCATTCATGCAAACGTTTATATGAATTTCATTGTCTTTGTTAAGATGTTATAAAAGGATCATTCTACATATACCAAAACGTCAAAATATTTATAAAACTTTTCTCCAAATTAAATGCACCAAATCATTTAAATCTCGGCAAGTAATTATGAAGTTCCTACACAAGTACGTGATGGCCACCTTAGGGCCTCCATAATCACTTGCTGAAGTTTCAAATGATTCGATGCACCCAGTTTGGAGAAAAGTTTTATAAATATTTTGATGCTTTGATATATACAGATTGACCCTTCCCATAGTACCTTAAGGTCATTTTATGCATATTAAAACGTCAAAATATTTATAAAACTTTTCTCCAAACTGAGTGCTCCGAATCGTTTGAAACTTCAGCATGTGATTATGAAGGCTCTAAAAAAGAACTCAATGCTCACGAAATTTAATTTTTCCAAAAAAGTATGTATCCTTGGTTCTAGTTCGAGATAAATAATTTTTTTTTTTTTTATGAAATTTGATTAGCATTGCATTCTCCCTTAGGGCCTCCATAATCACTTGCTGAAGTTTCAAATGATTCAGTACATCCAGTTTGGGGAAAAGTTTTATATGATGTAATTCCTTTAATTAAAACATGATTTCAGATTAAACCAGTATTGAAACTGATGTGTGATGACGGTGCAAACATTGTTTACAGGACAGAAGGAAAATGACATTGTAAGATATGAATTGAGTTACTGAAAGAAATAAAAAATATTCTATCAATTTTAAGTAAATAACATGTTACCCTTTATTTATGGCACCTAAATGCATGGGAATAAATCAAAGCTTGTCAGAAATGTCTGTATCACATAAAACCAGCCAGTACAGTCAACAAAAAAGTGTTGACATCTCTCATGCTTGCCACTCATTTTATGATCACTTTATTTTCTAATTTCATTTACCCACTTGTTATATTCAGTACATGTTACATACATAATTTATATTAGGCTCATGAAGTTAAATTAACCAACAGTATGCCATCTGTAAAAACATTAATCGTTTCCTACCAATGAAAAATCAGCAGATAATGTAAATGTATGACGTTGACTACATATCTATTGTACTCCTAAATCTGAGATTTTTTCGAGTCCGGACCCAGTAAAAGTGTCAAATTTAAGTGTCAATGGAGACACTGAGGATTAAATTTCCATATCTATTAAGGATGGGGAGACACGAGATTTACTGGGTCCGAACTAGATAAATCCTAGATTTAGGTGTACGATGGAGATCTAGTCATTCATCCATTATTAGATGTTAGTTAACCTTGGTAAAATATTTGTTGGTGCAATAGAAATTGAGTTAGCTTATGGTTAAATTTTGATCAGTAATTCATTAATCTAAATTAGTAATATTAATTAAGGTTATTGGTGCAACCGACCCAGAACATTGAAAGGTTAAACCAGTGAAAATGGTTGTGCTAGCTTCACTGATGTAATTCATTCCTTGTTAACAACTGTTCTGCAATAACATTTTCATTGTTTGTTTTGACATCGAATGCCTTAAAATAAATGCAGTATATTCTTCCTTTTTCCAATAATACCAAATAACAATATTATATAAAAGAAGTTGTTACTATATATCGCTACTGGTATATTACACATACTTATATTTATAACAATGTTCTATATGTGTTCTATACAGAATGTCCCAGATCTCCCAGGCCGACAGGAATATATAACAATAATTTCTATTTAATTGTGAGCAAAAATATTAAATGCAAACTTGAATCGGAATTATAGTTTCAAAACTAGAATAGATTGATGTTGACGAATCACAAAGGATTAGTCACTGGACAGTGCCAGGACGAACGTCCTATTATCATTCAGACTCAGTGTTCGTAATTAACAACAGACATGTCATTTGTATGTGTGACTCTGAAATTTTATCACGATGGAAGAGAATCTGAATGCGAGCTCACAGAATTAGCAAAGTAATAATCTGAATGCGAGCTCACAGAATTAGCAAAGTAATAATAACAAAAAAGTGTCTTACTTTTAAGTACTTTAAAATAACGAGAAAATTTGTTTGAAATTGAGATTTAAGCCAGACTTCAAAACGACAGGTAAAGGAGGATTCAATCGGCACTGATCGGCAATTAATCCTGCTTCCTGATTGGTCAACTTTAAACTATTGTAGTCTTGAAACTGAAATTTGGATTCATATTTGCATGTATACTCTTTTTCAGAATTAAAGAGAAATTATCGTTACATATTTCTTATTTGCTAAGTCTGGAACACCCTGTACATGCCATAACCGGCATGCCTTTTTTGGATCCATTTAGACCTGAATTAATTTTTTTTCTATCATACTTATCCACTTTTTTTAATTATCAAAGTATTAATTATGTAAACAAATTTGTGCTGGTCATTTTATTATCACATTTTATTACTACAGGTTCATTTGAACCCAATGAACCCAATAATGTGAAAATTAAAAAAGGCACGAAGAGTAATTGACTAAATTTTTATAAAACATTGATACGTATTATATATAGTGCATTTACCATTGCCATTGCAATATATGATATGCACACTGTAAGAGTAATCAATAACAATTAAAAATAGAAATAACATATTTCGATTATAAATAATTTATGTATACCAGATTATATCTTTCATTTTTCTTTCTAAACTAAAATATATAAAAAATGATGTTTCATTTTGACATTAATGTACAAATTGCAAAGATCAGTTTTGTACAACTTTTTGATACCGTAATAACATACTCGTCGTTTATTTTGGCATTGGATGTTTCAAAACAAATGCAGTATAAATACATTCCTCCTTTTTGCAATTGTACCAAATAAGTATCATATAAGAGAAATCGCGAATGCCTCCTGCTGTCAATATATTACACACGCGTAGATTTATATTATTGTTTCATACGTGTCTTAATCGATTTGGTTTTTCATAAAACTATATATAATGTGGGCGGAACATTTATCATTGCCATGTCAGTACACATCGACAGCAATCCAAAAGCAATTAAAAGCAGAAATAATGTGTGTTTTTAGTATAACTAATTTGCAAGTACAAGATTATCTGTCATTTCTCTCTCCACATAGGAATATATTGGGTTGGTGCCTAATTACTGTTACACTTTACAATTTTTTATTCACCTTCTGGTATAACGTTAATTATGCACCAACCTAACACGAAATATGGCCTTTCGTGAATATACAATCGCAATAACGTACAAGTTGGCGAGATTATTTTTGGTATAACTTTTCGATACCACAAATAACCTTACAATCTACATATATAGATGGTAATACATGCAGGCACATGACAATCAGCTCTTACATATTAATTCGCGCGAGGGTCGACCCACTGCACACGAAATAAAACACTTTTGTTCAGTCGTATGTAACGCAGAAACAATTACATGGAGCGTAACCGAAAACCCGAGCCCGTGGAACCTCGGTTACCGTCCGACGTGCACAAAACCAAAGGTGTCATTTAAAAAATACTAATGGAACAAGAGACCACACGGCCAGGTGTCAAAGCCTGGACGGCCGCACATCTCCAGATACGACCGCGTTCCGTTCACGAGAAGCGCACTGATCGAAGAAACGAACGCGCACACAGGCGGATTCTCTCCGGCGCCTGGCGATGAGAAATCGCGCTAAATTACATGTGTATCCCGAAACACCAGCGCGCTCTTCCGTCGGCACGCGTCAGAGCACACGATAGTTCTCTCAACCGCGGTAGGCCGGAATCCCACTAAGAGCGTCGAGTGTCTCACGGAACGCGACGCATTGACGGGGAGAGGATGAAATGCCAAACGGAACCACGGTCAACTTCTGCATCATCGCGCCGTGCTCTGTGTGACACCCAATGCTCACGGCACGACCAGGTTGCAGGCTGGCCGATTGCTCGAACGCACTCGCGCAAACGCGTTGCACGTATACACACGGTTAATGTGACATCTGTCCCAAAAATATCAACTCAGGCTGGAATTTGTAGACTAACCAAATAGGACGGCTGAACAATGAACAGCCAAAACTCGAGATCGCTCTTTCCCAGACGCACAGGACGCGATGTTATAATTTTTTATTCATAAACTGGCAGCAAAAGGCCCCTCGTCTGCTGTCATGCAGAAATACACGGGCCAGTAGGAATTCCGTTACACTGAATCTTCCCAACGACTTAAAATCTTCAAGAGAGGACCTTCGATTCCTAATACCAAAGAACCTCTGCAGCCAAAAACACACTTGTCTACAGAAACGAATATTCCGAACGTAGCCCACCAATTTATCAGTACTCACAATTATTTTCTCTGAATATCACCCGACTACACCCAAGTAACCACCATTTTTCCCAATGCCCGCAACGCACCCATCCGGCGCTATCCCCAACTCGTCAACCATTGGCACTAACCGACAGAAAAATCTTATCCTTGGAGTAAAGTATTAAACCCAACCGTTTAGTTTACGACAGAATTGAGTAGATATAATACGCCATGTGCATTGGACTCCGTCATTGGTTTCCTCCTGTCCGCTCTGCCCTCTCCGGCCGCGCAGCGTACTAGCGGCGGGAGCAGCGCGGAATTTGAATCGCCTGAGGGGCAGAATGGATTTCCTAAAGAAAATTTAAATATTATTGTGGAGTGTCCCTGACCCACCTAACGTAGTTTTTGTTAAATGATAATGTATAGAATTTTTTAAATAATGTAATAAAACATGTTTTATTAAATGTTAACAAGTGTCTTAGCAATTCAATTGTTCCATCCACTGAAACGAAGTTGGAATATTATCTTAGCATAAAAAGGAATAGTAGATTAATATTTAGAGTGAAATCCCGTAGGAAAATATACGATGCATCAACATTCGGACATAGAAACGAAATCGTGATTTCATGCCTCTTATATATTTACGATCTACACCATTCTTCATATTCCCTGAATAAATGAACACCTGTAAATCATTAAATGAGCATGTAAATGAGCACCCGTAAACATAAGAAAGACTTCTCTTATCCGAATTTTTTATAAACGCAAATCGGAGTAACTATTATGAATTGAATTCATTCGAAATAGGTATCCAAAACGTAAAATATAATTTTCAATTTCGTATTTGAAATAGGAACAATAAACTATTTTGTATTTCCTATTTTAAATAGATTTTGAATCAGTTTCCATTTGAAATTAAATACTTTCAGAGAAATGAGAATATTAGAAAAGAGTCGATCAGAATGATACTTGTTCTATCAACTGAATAAATTGTCGAAAAAGTTAAACAACACGCGTAACTCGAAATAGCCACATTGGCAAAAACAGATGAAATTAAATTGTTTACTTGCATTTTGAATACAATGTTACGTCAAAATTGTAACAAATTATTGATCCGCACTCAGATCAGCTTACCTGCTGCGCGGATCAAAACCCCCTTTTTGGCCACGAATTTAATCGTAGAGCCAGGGACTGGGGCGCACAGCGGGTCAAGGGCGGAAATAATCAAGACTAGGGGTTTAACAACAAAATTTTATTACTAGACAACAATTCAAGTTTAAACGTACAAATACAATTAAATATTCCCTGAATTATATGGGGTCGATTTTAGTAAACGCAATCAATATTATGCACAAAGATGGAAATTGCACGAACAAAATACATAACAATATTACAATTGCCAAAATTCAAGACCGCAAACCTACCTTAACAAAATTGAAGACTGGTATCCTCCATGTCTCATTACGTGTGCAATCTCAATGCAATATCAAAGTTCAGACCACAATTTAGAACCAGGATTCAAGGATAAGTTTAACAATAAACAATATCAAAACCCGCGAATAAATTTTAAGAGTACAATTTCATGGCGAAATCCAACAGTAAAATTTAAGGATAAACTCAAACCAAATTTTCAAGAATAATATTTGAGAATAAAATTTTAAATCTTAAAATTCAAAAACAAAACTTAGGAATAGAATGTAACACCTAAATTCACGAATGAAACTAAGAATATAATTTAATACCAAAATTCGAAGATCAAATTTCAAAATAAACTTAATGCCAAAATCCAAGGATAGAATTGAAGGATAGGATTTAATGTCAAAATTCAAGAGCAAGATTTAAGAATAAAATTTTTATATCAAGGTTCAAGAACAAAAGTTAAGAATAAGGTTCAATATCATGAGCTGAATGAATGAGATGATGAGATGAATGAATGAGATGATATTTCATGAGCAAAAGTGGAGAATAAATTCTTAATATCAATTTTCAAGAATAAAAGCTGAGAATAAATTATATTAAATCTCAAGGAAGCGACTTCGATACAAAACAATTATCGGTAAATTGGAATGGGACCTAGAAAAATGGTTCAGGAATCCAGGTTCAAATAGAAAGATTAAACAAACGGGGAATAGACGATTGAAACAAATTCAATGAGACATTTGCAGTAACGACCTAAGGATTACTTAGAATTAGGACTGAAGCATCTACAACAATCACATTCAACGAAATACATAATATGGACAGATCAGTACAAAATACAGACTCAATGATCAATTACATTTCGGTATCAAAATTCTACCTTTAATTCGCATAGACACAATACAATATTTTTGGATTTTAAGTTCAGGATTGCGCGAGACTCAATTAAGTCGGACAAAACAATTCAACACTGTGAATTCCGTAATCGAAAATCATAACATTTCAATTCATTCAGTAAAACATTTGGAGTAACTCTCAAAGTTTAATATAAGGATAATAGTTCGATAATTCAAGTAGCACTGATAATATGAAATTTATTCACGCTGTACCGCTCAACATGCACAGATTCAGAATTTGAGAAGTAGAGGAATTTCCTTTTATTTGGGATGACTGAGGAATAATTCAAATGGAAAGTTACAAATAACCGACACAATCAAATGTGAAATCAAACGAACGACGTCGCAACAAGTTTCATATATAACACAATAATTTTACACATAATAACACAATGTAATGGGTGAGCGAGTGGAGTTTATCGAACGGTTTCACATAAAATTTATAGTCCTATCGACGCACTGATTTAACAGAATGTACTTTGTCGAACAACTAGAATTTATTATCAAGTTGGGAATCCTCAAGGTAAAGAAAGGTTCATCCGCGAACGACCGGAAAGGTTCATCCGTGTACTAAAAATTCGACACTCTTTCGGGCTCCGGATCTAATTGATCGTAATACGAATCTCGAGCAGGGCTGACGGCACTTCCCGGTAAACACAAATTCGAATCCGACTCGCGACAACTCGATCCCGAAAAAAATACTTCAACCTGAGAATCTAATATCAGAAAAAGGGTACTTGACCGCGAAGATAACAAAGGGTTGAAATGGAAATATAGTGAAATGCTGACCTTAGGTGATGTGGGTGTCTCGGGGAAATTAGAACCAGTCGGTGCCTGGGCCTCTGATTTGCTTCCTTCTTTGCTCGCAACTCTTTGGCCACTTCCAAAACCACAAGCACTCCAAAGTGCTTGTGGTTTTCGCTAAGTGATCGTTGTTTCTCGAATTTTCAAAACGGAGTGTGCTCCCGGCCGAGCTCCAGGTTTTCCGCGACCTCCTGGACAAGAAGTAGGGGCAAGAGGCCCTCCTAGGTAGAGTCCACCTTGTGCTGCGTCTTCAAATTCCTGGAGCTCGGTAGCGCCTCCAGAACACTGAACTTGGTGCTGACGCGGGGTTTCGCGCCCCGAGACGTTCCGACGTCGCGTGGACTTCGGCCCCCGTGAACCCGTGCGCACCTCTGGAATGCCAGCTCTGCACCTTACTTGCGTCCTAGTGCAGGGCACGCTTTCCCTGAGCCCGATTCTATTTTGACTTTAAAATCTAAATTCTCGCTAGAATACAGCGAGACGTAACAACAACTACAAGGTATAAAATTATATCCGAAAAAGGCATGGAACATGAAGGGTTAACGTTACGATTAGATAGCACAGTTAATTCGAGACGACATTTCTCGTGGCGGAATTGATCCTCCATTCCCTCTGTTAATTACTTGATCGCGGTCGCTGCAAAATGACAATTCGCCTTGCGAGCCGCGGAAGGAAGGGGCGATAAGGCCCAAGGGTGAACAACGGCAAGTGAGAACACCGTCGGGAGGCATAAGATCCGCGAGAGAGCAACGGAGAACGCCGCTTTGGACGGGGCGAGACCGCAGCCCGGGGTAGAGAGAGAGAGTCTTCCTCGCCGGCGTGTAAACATCGATGCTAATCCGATTATCGAGAGCCGATACTGAGACCCTCACAACAGGGAGTGAAAGGCCCAAGACAGGAATTTTAAGAGTGGTAGAGAAAGCCGGGGCCTATGCGACCCGTAGGAGTAAGAGAGAACGCCACGTCTATGACCCTCGAGCCCCAAGCCGGCGCCCGAGCCGCGCCGGCCACGCCAACGCGAAAGCAACATCTGGTCAGGACTCGAAGCCCGGCCGCATAAGTCTGTCTCTACTCTAAGAGGCGGTTGGCGTATCAAATAGGCCATCTCACTCGGACACACGGCCTCCAGGGCGGATATAGAGAGACACAAGTATGCAGTCCCCTTACCGCACCGGCCCGCCGTCCACATGCTACCGACGAGGCTGAGTGTCGACGGACTCGAACGCTTCCCGAATGACTCACCCCCCTCCGCTCCTTTACCCAGCATGAGTAACGTTCGTCAGAGAATTCATATAACGAACTATTGGCCATTTAAATTTACTTTGGGCTGTAGCGGGGCTGTTCGACCGTCGCGAAATGCGCTACAACTTGTTTGCATATAATATCATATTGCAAAAATGTCAATTCCTTCCGCAATATAAAATTTTCTCTGTAATTATGGTTCAATCTTTTACTGTCATAAATTCAATGTGTTCATGTAATCAAATTTTAAAATTAACAAGAAATCCTGTGGTTTTCTCATTTCTTCATAAACTTATTTTTTATATTAAGGTTGTCCAGCCTTATTCGTTCAATTTGTGCGTATTTCAATCGTTTGACTACATTTTATAGTAATGTATTTGAGGTCAGGTTGAGAAAAATTAAACCAACAATTTTCTAGCAATTGATTTCCTTTCCAGTGTATTGGTCGGGGCGAATCGGGAAAAGATGGTTAGAAACTACGTTAAGAGATTGGCCATCGAGTGTATAAAAATGACACCCAAGAAATCTTTCAGACTGCACTCGAGCGAGAAAAACGGGACCATATAACTTTGACAGATACTAAAGAAATTTATAAAGTTTTATATTGGCTGCTTATTTTTTAGGAGAATAAAATGTATTTTAAGACATTCACAAAGACTAGCATTTATGTTTTCTTTCATGAATTTCTAGATTTATGTTGTTTTACTTCTGCGCGGGAAAAAGAATGACTAAATTCAACTCATTTTCTGAGTTAAATATGGCGATCTCAATAAGCGAGTTCGTTCAACTTACATTTAGTGCAAAATCACATTTTGTAGTTGAATCAACTC